AAAAAAAAAAAAAAAAAGAGAAAGAAAATGACTCAGGAACTGTTACCAAAATTTTAAATGCATATGCCCTTTGAATCAAGGAGTCCACTGCTAAGATTCTCCCCTAGGCGTTTACTCACAAATGCGTAAATAAAGAATGTTCACAGCCGCATAGTTTAGACCCAGTATCAGATGAAATTGTAAGAAACAATGATGCAACAAAGAGAGAACTGTGAAACACCATTGCTTGGAATAACAAATAGCAAAACAATGCCAACAACCTAAATGGCCACCAAAGGGAAGACTGGTTATAGCATAAGCACATGATGGAATATTATTTAGCAGTTAAAACAATGAAGTAGATCTATATGCACTAATAAGAGATCTCTTGTAGTACTAAGTTAAAAAAAAAAAAAGTACAGGACAGAATGTGAGTGTGTTTGCTGGTACATATATAACCTTTTTCTGGAAGAATACACAAAATAGTTAATAACGTTTACCTTCCAAGAGAAGGACCAAGAAACGCTTTCACATTTCATTTTTCACCTTTCCATTCTGCATGTAGATTCAAATAAGATGCATGTATTCCCATTTGCACTCTTCTCGATACATCTCTAAAGATTACTACTATCCCACCTACTAGAGGTTATTACTTTAGTCAGAAAGACAATAAAATAATCAGAAAAAATAACACTCTGCTTTCTTTTATATTTAACCCAAAATAGTAAGTCCAGTGAGCTCAAGATAAGGGCTCATTTCAAATATACTGAATTTCAAATATTTCATCATAAATACACTGAAAAAGCAGAAATAAATCTTCCTTTTCTGTATTTTCATAACTTTTCACTCCAGAGTACCAAAAATGTTCTTAAGTATACTGTGGTCTATTTCTTCAAATGGCAAGAAATCTTTCACAGCATTCGAAAATGAAGACGGCCTCTGCAGGGTGTATCCAGCCCCCTTCAGGCTCTGCTCCCAAACACGCTGCTCTGTCTCCTCCTCCCCCTCCTCCCAGGGCCTCTGCACCTGCCATTCCCCTACCCCATCTGACCCTTCTCCACCCTCCTCAGGTCTTTCTTGAGATCTTAGTTCAATCACTTCTTCCTTGGGGACTCCAAAGGTCTCCCAACTCCCTGGCATCATTACTGATTCCTATGACCACTCACT